TTGTAATGGGGATTGAACTCAGGATCTTGTGCTAGCGAGGCAGGCAACAGAACCACTGAGCTAAATCCCTGGCCCTAAATATAGTTTCTAAAAGTTGAAGAAAAATGAGCAACTAAATAAACAACCCAAATGAAGGTATAGTTTGTTGCTTTAATTTTATGCTATATGAATTTTATGTTAAATTTAAAATTTATTGCTTAATAACAGGTAAATAAATGTACCTGAAATATGAATGAAAAAAGAAGTATAAGTGATTATACTCAATTCACCTGAGTGGTTTAGCTGTAGTGAGATTTCATGCTGGGGTGAGTCATTCTGTTCCACTGTTTTCTTAACAGAATTCTTAACCTTCTCAGCTCTTTGGGCACGCTAGAGAAAACAAAAGAAGTTCAAGAACGAAACTTCCTTTACAGCTTTATTACTGTCAGAAATTGTTTTTAAAATTGTCTGTACAATACCTAAATTTGAGAGAATTCAATCCACTTACCTGAAGGCGGGCCAGTGTCTTGCTGTATTCCCTTTTCAAAAATGCTAATTTTTTCTTCAACTAGAAGAAGAAAAACACCAATCTTGTTGAGTAGTGGAAAGGTGGAGTCAGAGGGAAGCAGTACATTGTCTATCAGGAGCGCACAGTGAGTGTTTAGCAGGGATCCTCAGCCTCCAGGAGAGGAACTGGCCCACACAGACCTATTCCAGTTCTCACAAAACACCAAGCTTTCACTCTCAGGGCCCCTGCACAAACTATTCCTGTCATCTGGAACGTTTCTTCCCTCTGCCAATTCCTGTCCCTCAAGCCCTAGTATAAGATGTTTATTTCCCTGGGGACAGAATTCTAGGTTGTTCTTCAAATCCAGGTTAGACTCTCCGTCCCTCCTCTGTGCTTCCCTTATCACAGTTTTTTACTGTACCACAGTGTACTGTCTGTTACTTCCCTGTTCTTCCCCATCACTGTGAAAACCATGAAGATAGCAGTTGTCACCTTCATTCAACAAATGTCAGTCAATGGTTATCTCTAGCCTTAGAAGAGTATCTGATATCCACTAATGTCAGCTACTGTATCATTTGTTCCAGACACTAAAGATACAAGGTGATGATGATAAATTGAATATAGCGAAAGATATGGATAATACACAAGAAAACAGACTTTGCATGATAACAAACACTTAGATAAACAGGGGATATGACTAGGCTCCTGAATGGACTGCCAAGCAGAGTGGTCCTAGAGGCATTTGTGAGAACTGTCATTGGAGCCTAGACCTAAGAAAGGAAGGAGCTAGCTTTAGGGAGATTGGGGGATGGAAACCAGAAACATGAAAGAGCTCCATGGTGGGATGGGCTAAGTGTATGTGAGGACCACTCCAAAGACCAGTGAAATAGCTTTCACTGCTGAATTTCCAGCCAGGCACACTGTAGGTATTCAGCACAGACTTACTAGGACTAGGTTAAGTCAAATTACTATTTTCTGAAAGTTTAGGTTTCTTTTGTCTCTCTGGCTTCTGTGGCTCAAAGGATGATTTCAGCAGCAAAGCCACCCATTTTTGTTTTTCTTCTGCTTTCTAGGAACCTGTTAGGAGGACTCATGCTTCCAATACCATGCAGTTTATAAATGGCACAATTCAAACCCTAGCAGTTGACTAGCAGCAGTCTGTGTTCTGTGTCTCTAGCCTAGTTCACTCCTCGTGGCCTTATCAATATCTAGGAATTACCGTGTGCATCGGAAATGATCTTTTCACTCTACCACCAGATAAGCTAGAAGATTGACAAGTTAATTTGAATGACAGTCCGGCAAGCACAATAAAAATTCCATGTAACAGCACAACAGCCTGGAAACAAACTAAAAGTCTATCATCAGTCGATTAACATCTAAAGAAACAGGGACACTTCCAAGCTACATAATACAATAGGGAATGTTTTTAAAAACGGTAATGATGTCCTAATGTGGCTGTTAAACAGAGAAAAAAGAAAGTTGCAATACCATTCCGATCATTCTATTTATGAACTTTACCCTATTCAACAAATACATAGTATTTTTTGGGTGTCAGGGATACTCTGCTTCCTGCCCCAACACACAGACACAGAAGATCCCCAAGTACCAGACTGAAAAGATTTACTTGGCTGGGTGAAGTCAAGACTGAGCTTGTGGGATGGGGAGAAAGGAGAGACTAAGAAGGATGTCGAAGGGCATTTAAGCTCCGCTCACAACGTTTTGCACTGTTTTTATGCATTGCTACTGTAACGAAAATGTTTTCTAAGCGCCACCACGTGAGTGACGCGCCAATCTCCCACACTTCCACTCCCTGTGTCCACTCAGACTGAGAAGGCAGATCTGAGGAGACCGCTGCCTCGGGCCGCGCAAAGAGAAAGCCAGGCCTCCGGTCTGGAAGCGGGGTGACCCCAAGTCAGCCCTTTCCGCACCCCGGGCACCTTTTCCTTCTCCTCACAGCTGAGGGGCTTCCAGGGAGGCTCGTCCATCGGGATGGAGGCCGAACGGAAAGAGCAGCCGTCGCCAGCCCTGGACCCGCGGACACAGAGACCTAGCGGGAACTTGGGTCCACGCAGCACCCTGGACGCGGGGTCCCCTCAGAACGCTACCAGACAGCACACACAGGCTAGGCGCGCCATCTCCCCGGGCCAATTAAAGCCGCCGCTCGGCCTGCGCACGCGCAGCCGGGGACAGCCTACCGAGGGCGCAGGGCCACCTAGCGGAGAGCCGAGTGGTCGATTAGAGCCTAGGCCACCGGCAGCGGAAGTGGAGGCGCAGCCGGAAGTAACCGGATTCTCCGCGAGCCGGTCCTTGACAGGATCCTGAGGTGCAGAAAGGAGGCGGTGGCCATGGAGTTGGGCGAGCTACTCTACAACAAGTCGGAGTACATCGAGACGGTGCGTGTGTTCTGAATCCGCCCTTCGTCTCCCAAGCTGGCGTCCTTTTGAGGCCTGAAGCCCCGGTCTGTCCCTGCCCCACCCACTCCGAGTCCCTTTGGCAGTTCATCGGGAATTAGCTAGAGGCGCTTCAGCATCCTCTGATTTTGTTGTTTAGTCTGTGCGGCATATTTCCGACTTTCTCATAGAGATAAGGTGTCTTCTGGAGGCCAGGAAAGCACTAGCTATGCTAATGTTAAATACAGCTTCAGGCTTCGGGCCTATTTTATCCCTTTTTTTTTTCCCCCCGGACCTTGTACTTGGCCAGGCAGGCGCAATGCTACTGAGCCACATCCCCAACATATTTTAACTTTTTTTAAAATTAATGTTTCGTGATCTCTTAACATGTGCTGAAAACTATCAAGTTCTTTATATATTCAGCTCTTGAAATGTGTGATGAAATGCTGGAAACAGCAAGTGGCCCAATTAAACTATTATTTTGTTTATTCTTTGCAGTCTCGCAACTTTTTAATAATGGTACCATTATTATCCATTTAGGGCTTTAAATTGAAAACTGGAACTGGTACTTGAATCCACATCTCCGCCTCATGCCACTAAACTATAGACTTACCACAAATTCTGAAACCATTCCTGAATCTTTAGTTTGCATCCCTGCTTTTAAAAATCCGTTTTAGACCTCATGTCATTTGAAGTTCTTTTCTCTCCATTTCAAGCTTTCTTTGTGGAAACCTTCGCCCAGAAATCCACTCAGTTTTCTGTTATTTCTTTTTAGGCATCTGGGAATAAAGTTAGTCGCCAGTCAGTGTTGTGTGGAAGCCAGAACATTGTTCTCAATGGCAAGGTAAGCTACAAGGAGAGCTCCAGGATGCCTTTGCTTGCTTTCCACTAATTGTCACATTAGCAGGGTAGATAAAATGTGTCTGCTATTTATTGGTGTACAAGTCCAACTCTCTTTTTTCTCCAAATTGGATTTATTGAATGCAAAAACAGCAATAAAAGGAAGTAACAGATAATAATTTTCATTTTTATGCCAGAACAAAATTCAGTGGCCCTTAGAACCAAAATTACCGTACAAGCTGGGTGTGGTGGCACATTCCTATCATCCTAGCAGTTGATTTGTTCAAATCAGAATCCCAAAAAAGTCGTGCACACACATAGTATTTGGTTGGTAGCCCCTTAAGTCTCTTTCAGTTAATAAGTATTCTTTCTCTTTACCCTTTTTCCTTCATGACATTTATATATTGTAGAAGTGACATTACTATCCTGTCAAGTTTTTAAATTCCTGAGTTTGGTAGATTGTATCTACATAGAGTTGTTTAACATGACCTTTTTTTTTTTTTAATATAGCCTTTATCTCCTTCACTTCCCTATAATAGGTGAATACTGAAGCTTAATCATTTATTTCTCATTTCCATTCTATTGTCATAGATACGGCCCATTATCTATTTTTACCTTGATCCAATATACACATTTAAAGAATTACTTTCCCTCCAGTCTCATCTCTAGCCTCTCCATTTAGAGTCTAGACTGTATCTAGAGTAATATTCTAAAATGAAAATTCAGTTCTTCTGCTAACCTATGTAAAACATTTTATTGATTCCTGATACTCTATAGGGCAAAAAAAGTAAGCAGTTATGTTCAATGTATACCATTCCTCATGATCTGCTCTATTGCTTACTTTTGCAGTTGCAAATCCAAATATATGCTCTTTAAAAATCCCATTCACTTATTCAACACATATTTCGAGAATGCCTTCTCTTTACCAACATGGAGCATCGATCCACCTAGATTTCTTGGTGTGTTTTTCAGTCCCTCTACCCAATCTCTAGGGAAGCCAGATCTTATTCCACACAATGTAGTATTTAATCTGAGTCCAGAAGTGGGACATGAACCAGAACTTGAGTGGATCCACCTCTGGGAGCGTAAAGTTGGAGACAGTAGTGTTAGATTTAAAAAAAAAAAAAAAAAAGAAAAGAAAAAAGAGAATAAGAAAACTATAGACCACTATCCATTCTGTATACAGATGTAAAAACCTTCAGTGTGATACTAGCAATCTAAATTGAGAGCATATAGAGAGGAGGATCTAAAGAGCATACATAGTGGCCACATGGGATTTATCCCAGCAAGTCAGTGATTCTTCAACATATGACAATCAACCAGTGTGATACACTCTGTTAATAAAAGCAAATAGCCACAACACTTGGTGAAGGGGATCTGAAAGACTAAAGAGACATAAACTAATTCTGTAACAGGCATTCTCACTAAATTTTCATTCATTGAGTTCTGTTCATGGAATATTAAGGGCAAAGGTGCTAATGTAGTAGAACATCTCCAGTGTCAATTTGCAGCCATAAGAGCAGCTCTCCCTTTACTTTATCCCTTTTGGCAGAACATTTGATGCAATAGATCATAACATAATACTCAATGTATTATGTTTTGGGTTATGTAGGTAAGTTTTAAAAATGTGCTTTGTTTTATAGACCATTGTAATGAATGATTGTATAATCCGAGGGGATCTGGCCAATGTAAGAGTTGGACGCCACTGTGTTGTGAAAAGTCGTAGTGTTATAAGACCACCATTCAAGAAATTCAGCAAAGGGTACGTAATTTAATTTCTTGTTCCAGTCTTGAGCAAGATGCTGCTACTAGTAGTATTGTCCATGTGCTGAGATTTGGGATAACAAGTAGCTCCATCCTGTTGTGGCACTGAGTACGAGTTCCCCATAATGAACATGACCATGATGGTAGTTGTCTTAATCTGGTTGGTGGTTGGTTCCCAGAAACAAAATCCACTTAAGATGGCAAAAACAAAAGAGTGTCTGATTTAACATACACAGGCATATTTGGTAGAATCTAAGGGTGAAAAAAGAAACCAGGCCTCACAAGGCACTAGAACTTAGAACTGGACAGCTAGCCACAATGAAGATACTTATTCTCTCCATCCCTCTGTCTCCAATATTATACTGGGTCCTGTATTCTGTATCGTGGGAGAGAGAATCTAATTGGCTAAGCTTCAGTTAAGTACCCACTCCTGATATAAATAGCTAACTAAAAGGGTCTTGTGGTGGTGCACACTTGTAATTCCAGCACTTGGGGCTTGGGGTGGAGCTTGAGGATTGCTCCAAATGAGGCCCTGTCAGAAACAAACAACAAAGGCAAGAACACAGGAAAACAGACCAGTTTGTCCGCTGTGGTATGTCCCCTTTGCTAACTCCCCTCCTGGTTTGCACCTACGGCACCACCTGCATTTCATTCATTACGTCGGTACAAGTACAGTGTATGTTTATAAAACACCTTATAACAGCTACTGGTTATAAACTTGGCATACAAATATGGATAGTATAGAGTTCCTGACTCAAAGTTCTCAAAATCTAGTGGGGGAAAAATTACATGAACAGCTATTATGTATCACGATACAATAGCTCTGTCGTAGGTGATACACTGGGCCCTTGAGTTACAACTGACCTGACATACGAATAACTTGGATTACGACTGGAATTTTAGTTTTAACTTACAAAAAATGTCTTGACTTATGACCCGAATGCCAGCCACTTATGCTTCCAGATGGTCTCAGATACAGATTTAACCCTTAAAGAGTTCTGGAAGGAACATTATTGCAACATCCTTTCCTGTATGGGGTTAACTGAGAAATCCTGGGCAAGTGTTTCTCTCTAAGAACACTGGGATATGCCTATATATATAGGAGACAGACTTTGAAGGCTGTGTAGAGAAGCCTGAGCCTTCAGTTGATCCACTTGGGTTACAACCAGCCCTCATTAATGAATTGAGTTCCTAAGTCAAGGGTCCACTCTACAGCATTGGGCCTGGACCATAATAAGTACTCAATAAATATGGTAAATGAAGAAATTATAAGAATGTTGGGTGCCAAAAGTTACAGCCCATGAACCTGAAGTCAGTACCCTGAAACACGGCAGATTACTAAAAAGGTGATGTGTGAGTACTATCAAAGGCACAGAAATGAGCAAACATCTATTCATTTTTATTTGGTGCCTTCTCATTTAGCTTTGAGGATTTTACTCCTTCTGCCCTGCTTTTTCCTTTTGTATATTTCTTTTTTCCAGTATTTCTGATTTTGACCTGTTAGGCTGGGGTTGTGGGAGGATCGTGGTGGCTTTGGCTAGATCTACTATATCCTTTCGAGGAGAAAAAGAAAAAGCATAGAAACAGCTAGTTCAAAGTCCGGATTATTATTTTATGGATGTAAAATGTCTACACTGCTGTGTGATCACCATGATTTTTTTTTTTTTGGATCATCATGATTTTTGCTCAGACAGTGGTTCTTTGTATGGGTTGATCCACAGTGTTGTGCCAGCCAAAGAGAGGAAAGCCACACTCACAGCAAGTCATTCATTTAAAAGAAAGCAACACTAATGATCTATACAGCTTTCTGAATATGTGTTTTCGCACAGAAAGCTTTAATTCATTAATTAAATTAGCTAGATTAATTAGCTTTTAACTAATTCTAGTTAATCTACTGAGATAATGCATTTATGTATGATTCTGTAAGGTATACAACAGTGATTTCCTAATGGTATCAGTTTTTCAATAAAGTTTTGATTATGGACCAAAAAATTACTAGGATTTCTATAGCCTAAGGATCTTTTCCTTGCTATCAACAATTAAGAGGAGATGAAAGCTGGGCATGGTGACATGCACCTGTAGTCCCAGCACTCTGGAGGCTGAGGCGGGAGGATTACTATGAGTTTGAGGCCAGCCTGGGCTAACAGTGAATTCAAGGCCAGCCTGAACTATAGAGTGAGACCTGTCTCAGAAAACAAAACAAACAAAAAAAAGACAAGATGAACTTGTTGAGATTATGATCTATAGTTCTATAAACGTTGACCTTTTTTGTTGTTCATCTGTTCCTTCTCTAGCGTTGCATTCTTTCCTTTACATATTGGGGACCATGTTTTTATTGAGGAAGACTGCGTGGTCAACGCCGCTCAGATTGGTTCTTACGTTCACGTTGGCAAGAACTGTGTGATTGTGAGTATGGTGCCTCTGCTGACTGAGCAGCCAGGTTTCCTCTGCCTTTCATCCCTCATGCCTTCCATCAGTGGAACTTCGGTTCCCCACCTAGGCAGGGTAAGAGTAGTTTCTGCTGGTCTTCCTGAGGTTGGGTCTCTCTCGTAGGATTTGGAGTTTTTTTTCTCGGTGTTAATAACAGTGACAGTGGCTAGCTGTATAGAACCTCTTTTATATGAGGTTAAACTCTTTCCCTTCCATTTCTTTATTTAAGGATGTTAGGCATTGTTATCCCTGTTTGCAGACAAGAATAGGTTTTAAGGGATTTGACAAAGCTAGCAGATAGTAGAGCTAGGATTTAAATTCAGGCAGTATGATTAGCTGTGCTGCTCACAGCCTAAGTGCCTCCTTACCTAAAGGAGCGTACAGTCTAAGAGGCAAGGGCATCTAAAAGGCAAGTGGAAATTGGCAGAATAGTCAAGGGGAGCTTGGGCATTTCCAGTAAGTGACTGGCTTGAGTGTAAGGTTCAGAGTTGTCAAAAGGATGAAATATTAGGGGAACTGCAAGGCATGCAGGTAGAAGTAGGTTCTTTGCGGCACTGGTAGGACCTTGGTCCATAGAAGCATAAGCATCCATTTGTTTCACCTGCTGGGTGTGTGGTGGTGCACTCTGGAGACTGAGGCAGAAGGATCACCATGAGTTCAAGGCCAGCCTGAACTGCAGAGTAAGACCCTGTCTAAAAACAGCAAGAACAAAACCAAAACATAGTTTGTTTTACCTAACTGAGATTTGCGTTTCTTGCTATTTCATTGAGGAAGAGCTTAATTTCTGGTAGGTTTCTCAGAACATAACAGGTGAGAATGTTAATGACTAGAGCTGATCTGCCTACCTGTTTCTGTTTAGGTGTACACCTCAGACTGGAGTCTAGAAAGAGCCAAGATCCTCTGTATGTGTCTTTACTGGTCATTCCCACTAGCACAGAGTCAGCTCTCTGCCCTGACTGAGACTCAGATCCTAGAGCAGGGATAGCAAACCTTTCAGAGACCGAGTGCCAAACTGCAACCAAAACCCACTTACTTATCACAGAATGCCAACACCTCAATTAAACCAGAGTGCTGAGGTTTTAGTTTAGAAAAACTAACTCATACGTTAACATCTTTTGTCTTAGAAGAAAAATGATAACACATATGCCATAGGTTCGCCACCACTGCCCTAGGACCGTGTAGTTCCTGGCTGAGGAGCTGTGAGGGCTCAGCAGAGGTAGACAGTGCAGGGAGAACTGTGCTGCTGCCATAGCCATACAGAACTAAGGGCAGCAGTTCTGTCAGTTACTCTTGCCTCAGAGGAATCCCATAGTGTGCCGTAGAGACAGAAAGTCTCTGGTTTAGCCTGGTGTTGAAGAAAGGCAGAAGATTGAAAAGTTGATCTCAGAGTAGCAGAGAGAATAGTGATTGCTAGTGTGGGAAAGTGAAGGGGGAGGTTGGATGATGGGTACTGAAGTATGATTAGAAAGGGTAAGTTCTAGGGTGACTAGTTCATAATGACTTTGCAGTGGGATTTTTGTTGTTATTTGGTTTTGAGACAAGGTCTCACTATGTAGTTCAAGCTGGCCTTGAACTCACTGTGGAGCCCAGGCTGGCTTCAAACTCATAACAACCCTCCTGCCTAAGCCTCCCAAGTGTTAGGACTACAGGTATGCACTGTCACACCCAGTTTATAATGACTTGTTACATATGTTATAAAGAACAAGAAGAGGAGCTTGAAGGCATAAACATATGAAATGATAAGGAAATGCTAATTACCCTGATTTGATCAGTACATATTCTACACATGTACTGAGATGTCACACTGTTCCCTGTAAATATGTTTAATATCACACATTAATCCCATCACTCAGGAGGCAGAGGCAGGAGGATTGCTGTGAATTTGAGACCAGCAAGGGCTACATAGTTCCAGGTCAGTCTCAACTACATAGTGTGACCCTGTCTCAAAAAAAACAAAACAAAACAGAACTTTTTTTTTTTTTTTTTTTTTCCT